TACTTTAGGCCGGTGGCCATATAGTGCGGAATAAAGAAAATATAAATTTGTTTTGGAATATCGATCCTCGTTGGTTTCTCCATACTGAGTTCAGGACGGGCGTCGTTCTCGACGTCTGGCATTTAACGCAATCAGCCGAGACACGACAAACATTGACCGTAATTCGTGGGGATCATGTCCCACAATTTGTGGGCTGAAAACCCAAATAATTAAACAAGTATTATTATTATATTATATTAGCTTTATTTTATTCGAATCCAAGTAAAATTCACGAGTTTTTCAACATGTGTTGGCAACTTCCGCCGCGCTAAAAATGGTTGAAAACGGTGGGTGTGGTTCTCTCGCCCAGTCCTGTTGATAACATGGACAAATATTGTTGTGTGACCCAGGTCTTTCAGCCAACCAATGATGTTGTAACAAAGCATATTTGACGCTTGTTGAAGGGTCGCCGTACCAACCAATCTCCGGCTTCGATTCACGTAGTTTTTTTGTGCTGTGACAGGCTTCAAAATTATTCACTGAAAAACATCGGTATATTTTGACAAACGAATGGGATTTGACCCCGGTTCAAAAAGAAAAGGCTGAGATACATAAAGTTCATGACGAATGGGTTTACTTTGTAAGTTGTGAAATAAGGTAAATCAGAGTAGGGTCGATGATTTTCAGTACCAGAGGACTGAACGTGTGAATCCTGATTTTCGAATTGTTCATCAACTGGTCACCAAATATTTATGACTATAACTAAATTTGACACGTTTTTTTCTGAAACCCAATAAATTATTCATACATGTCAAGCTCTGTTCGATTTTTTCAGGGCATGTGGCCGTTTTTATTCGAAAATAGTTTTTGGGAATACTTTACGTTACGTACAGATCGAGCTCATTCACTGAACGTGACTTAATTTTTAAAATTGGATGCCACATTTAACCTGTGGACCGACGTGGTTTTGGTATCGTTATTTTTGGAATTAATCATTAATATTTTTTCACGTAAGTGTTTTATTAAAATAAAATAGAACCAACGTCCGCCTGCATGGTGTTGCTCCGTTCGAACATTCCTCCCTCCACAACACCGTGCGGTAATTCTATTCATAACCGTATATGTCACGTGGTTGCGCGATAGAAAGTTTACCGACCAATAGAAAGCTGTTTTACAATGACTACCAAAAAGCGCTTGGGGCTTTGCATTTCTGATGTTTCTATCTTCGGCTTCATTTCTGTCAATTTATGTTGCAGTGACACCATGAGCTTTGAGGTATAACACCTACTCTTCTATAATACTCAACAGTGGCTCAACACTATTACCACGCTCGATGGTCGCAAGGCTGGTAAAGCATAATAACATAATGATTTACCATTTCCAGTGCGTCTAAAAACGAACACATCAGACTCGGAACTAAGTACCCTGAAGGGCTTTTGTCCGAATATTGTATTGCCTCGACATCCACTGCAAGCCAACACAGCTTCCACTGTGCGAGCTTTCACCGCTTGGCAACCATCATGGTGAAAACAAAGGCCAAAAACTCTCAGAAAACAGTACTTTGGGATGGTTGTTGACACCCCCTGAACCGTGTAACAAGATTACCCTGCATATGCAACATATTTAAATTTGGTTGTTTAGGATTTCTTTAAAGTTAAGTTTGTGCTGTTTTTTCGATTTTAGCTATTTTCAATGGCTTTTTGACCGGCGTTCCACAGCAGCTCGCGCAGAGCCCATAGAAAATACGTGGTAGAGACTTAGCTCCGCCCCGACAATGTTGATAGCTTAGCCAAGCGCGTTGATGAAAGAAGCAATATGATTGGCTGTTGGTAAACTGATTCCAAACTGTGAGGGCATTGTCACATACACATATTCCTAATGAAATACTTCAAGGTGATAGTGGAGTGCTTCTCCGGAACATTCACCTTAAAAATTCAAGATGATTTTTTTTTTTAGAACAAGCACCTAAATCACGGAACAAGAGGTCCCAATTCAGTTGCCTTCCCGAACGATACAAATACAACTGTAGATTTGAAGTGTCGTTCACAATTTAATAATAGTTAATATTAGTTGTATTTTCACACTTTACTATCAAAACTACCATTTTGACTCTTCATGTGCCAGTAATCAGTGTTTGGGTGAGCGAAAAAAAAAACAACGATTAAAATGCGGTCGGTTTCCGGGAGAACAAGACCGGCGCGAGGTCGGAAATTAAGCGAATAAGCGGTCGATTAAAAAGCGGTAAAAGCGGAAGGTTGGACGAAATGAGTGCTGTATTTCATCATTCATTATTATTTTAAGTGAGAATTTATACCTTCAAGTTGTCATCGTTAACATTTATATTGTTTTCGGCGATTTTCTGTTCAATATTTACTGCCACAGACTGGGGTGAAGTTTTGAACTTACGAAGTGGTGTCATTGTCTCGTTCTGTTTTCCGATTAAAATGATACCTTTAACGTTGGATAGATCGACGAGGTCGTAATGTATATACATACAGAAGCTAGACTGACTTCAATGTGGCTCCCACCGTGAGAAAAATTTTGGTCACGTGGTAGGATGGCGCCACGTCAACTTGCACGCTGATATTGTGCTTCTGGGTGTACCAATTGACGTAACAAAAATAAAATTCTTTTTTATCGACTATCAGTAAACTGACATGCTTGTATTATCCGCCATGACAAAGCAGGTTTATTTTTGCACCCCAGTTTTGCTACTTCCGGGAAAGTGGTCTATTTCCAACGTGTTCGTACGATATGATTGTAGAACAAAATTACATTCTTGGCTACTGTTATGCTCAGCATGGTTCGGAAGGCATTACCGTTGAAAACATTGAAGTCGGGTCTAGGTGGGTAAGCAGGGGGTAGGCATAGGGTTCCTGTAGCGTGCAAAGTAAAGAAAAATGAATCTCACGTATGTTGTTTTTCTCCTGCAGTGTCCACATATAAGCTGGTATATTTCCCGGTAAGAGGTGAGTGCCCTCAACCAAATAATTTGTCTTTTCCACGCATTCTATATGTCTTTCATCGTTCATTGTTACTTGTTAATTGCCGGTAAATGTTCGAAATTAAGTAAAATGTACGGGATATATTTCTTGATCGGGATACGCATCCCTTTTGACGAAAAGTCCCTCAGTTTTGAGTATTGGCCTTGGGTATATGTTTATCTCTTTGCAGTTCATCGAATTCAGCAATTGAGTAGGGGTCATGGGTCACACAATATAAATGCAAACAAATGCTCAAATTTATCGAACCCTCTAACAGTGGTGGCGGGCAATTACTAGTCGCATTGACTGATATATTTGTTGTTGTGATAGGGCGCGGGGAAAGCATTCGTTTATTGTTAAAAGACAATAAGATCGACTACGAGGAAGAGAACTGTCGAGATGGATGGGTAGAAAAGTATAAACCACAAATGGTAAGTCAATTATGTCACTCAGGAAAAAAATAATTTGGTAATAGTTTTAGCCTCGCCTCCATAGTTGGCTTAGTGATTACGTCACTAGCCATATCAATGAAAAGAAAGAGTCTTGAACAGCCTCGCTCCAAACTATCTCTGTGTTCGAATTTATGTATGCACATGTGTTCTTACTCATCGTTCCTCCAATAAAAATGTTTTTGCACCAGCTTTAAAACTTCGAAACTACCGATATTAATTTATTTAGAAAGAAAAGCATACTGTTAAAATGGCCATGGCGACACGGCAAATGGACCATGGCATTTCCTGATACAGTAATAATTGCTAACAATCGGTATTACTTTTAACAGAACAGGGCCACAGAACAAGAATTGATCAATGTTTTGACCGCATTAAATGACTATGATCTACCACGATAGATCGTGAACGTTGGTGGTCATCGATGCTCAGTGTCCGCAACGCGAAGTTCTTAAGGCAGTCATGTATGGTCAGTCAAAACACTAATAGTATAGATTCGTTTTAAACCACAGTATTATTTGGATTGCACCCCTAGATATGCTCTGCTGCAATCGTCACTAGTGTACGTGTAAACTGTGCATGGTTCAGTTATACGATTTTGTCAAATTGTGGTGGTGAGAAAATTAAATAAATACTAATTAATAAAATAGTACAAACTTGGCTTGTCTTTTTTGTCTATATTTGTACATACATAAATACATGCATGGTATTTCATGGTTGAACTGTTGAACATGGCTACTAACGGTTATAAATTACAGCCATTCATGATGTTTGGTCGTCAACCACGCATTACAAAACACGGTAGTTCATCTTTGATTCACTGGCAAATACCACGATGTTATGGTATACCATGGTCAGCCATTCGCCTTGTCGCTACTAGTAAGTTTTGGAACTCTTCGTCCGTGTGTGATACTATGATCACTAGCAATTTTAAAGCGGGAGGGTGGTCACCTGCGCACGCGCGGGAACTGAGTTCCAAGCGACGATAACAACACGCGCTAAAAACTCAAAGGCTCATGGATCATGACGCTTGTTTTTAAACAATGACACGCGATGGCCATCTGACGCTTTAATTGATTGAATAACCGTAAATCCCTGTCATATTTTGGCGATAGTGGTCGCTGCACAATTCATTGTTTTTCACTTGCAACACCATCAACGATCTGACCATGTCTTAGATAATAGTCATTGGTGGTCAATTCATTGTCATTGAGATTGCGGACGACCCTGAAAACCTGTAATATAGTCGTCATCTTGAAAGTTGTATGGACAGTCATATACCAAAACATTGAATGACGCAATAAATATACCAATAAAGTGCATGCTATGCTAAGTACATTCCTTTACGGTTTGTTAAATTTGTAATTTATTAATTATAAGTAAGAATTCGTATTTATTTCAGCCACTTGGCCAAGTCCCCCTTCTCTGTGACGGAGATTACAAGCTATCGCAGTCTTGTGCTATTCTAAGATATTTAGCTAGAAAACATGGTAAGTGTGTAGTATTATTAAATCGGTTTCACCTACTAGTTGAGTATTTTCTATTCGACTTACAATTATGCCTCATTTCTGATATTGACTCTACTCTTGCTTCCCTTCTGAAAGTATTGTAGCAGCAAATGATTTCAGAACTTAAGCCTCAAGGACGAGGTAATATTGACTATATTTGCCATCATCAGCTGCGTTTAAAAAAGGCTGCATGACGTCATATTATGCGGGTATAACGTATCAAACACTCAATCATGATTTGTATACAAAGCATTGCAAATACAGAATAACAAATTCTATGTTGGACACCATGGTCGGATCTGGTAGTGTACCGTTTACCACTTAGCATATTCATTCCATATCATACTCGTACAACTTATGTCACCTACATGTAGTGATGTGTCTGTGAATTACAATGCTTCAGTACATTCATCTTATTGTATTCATCTTATTGTATCTTATTATTCATCTTCGGTACATTCATCTCTAACGAAGAAGCGCATCTGCGACGCCATAATGGTTATGTGTTTCATAAAATGTTTTGTAGTCGGTCGTTATTTATAATACTAGTATAACAACTCAATATCGACGCAGTTACTTGCACCCATTTACGTCACAGCAACGCTTCGTCGCCAGGAGGCGCGACTTATAAGGGATGTGCACTAATATGTATATATCTGATTTGTGCGTTAGATCTATACGGAAGTGACGTCAAAGAACAAGGACTGATGGATATGATATGCGATGGCTCTGAAGATCTAAGATCGAAGTACCAAACTATGATCTATACTAATTATGTAAATACACTATGGATATTTTTTCAGATCCCGTAATGTTGATATGAGAAATGGCATTCCTGGATGCGTAGGGCCAACTTCATGTTTATGAATAGTTTTACATTAAGGAATTCAACAGCTAGGCACGACAGCCATGGTTTAATACAAGATTATTAATCTTTGTAATCCTTGTGAGAAAAACATAAAAAAAGCGTGAAATAATCAATATCAGTTTACTTTTTGCCCTCTCATAAATTGAACGTTTACTATGCGCCAAACAGTCACGCAAACATACCATCGTGCAATTTATGAAACGCAACATTCACTATGTTTTGTGTATTCGCACACAGGAGAACGGCAAACAACCTTATATTGCGAAACTGCCAGCGGAATTGGAAAAGTTTGAGGTTAGTAAACCGGTTATACGTTACAGGTATTCAGCAACAAGGTGAAATTGCATGCAGTGACATTTCTCTGTAAACCACTTTCTTATACTTACAGAAGCTGCTTAGCAAGAACAATGGAGGACAAACTTACATGGTCGGTGACAAGGTGGGTTCCATTTAAACATGCTATTGTTTTGCTACTTGTATAAACTGTGTTGTTGGAACGTAACAATAAGTCAGTTTTGTATCACATAGATATGATTGTTTATTGCAAAGCAAAAGGCCATTGGTCGAAGGAGCAAATACAATTTTATTTAATTGTATTAAATTTATACAATGGTAAAACTACGTAACTGGTTTATATTGTAAACATTTCTTGAACTCATTGGTGGGATACATTTGTTGTAAGCCTGAATGGGGTTAGTGCAGAAACACACAAGCAGAGATTCTGTTCTAATACGATGAGAAAAGGGCAAATGGCCAGAAAATGATTTTCGTTCTCAATATAAAATTAGGTGTAGTGCCGTGAAATAAATGAGCGTCGACCATTGCAGTACCAAATGAATGTAATGTTGAAACATACAATGTATCAAAGTGAATGTTTTGCTCTGAGATAACGTTGTATTGACTTCTGTTTTACTAAATTGGTGTTTTTAATTGTTTTTGACGTAAAACGTGCTTTGGTCATTGCTGCGTCATGACTTGATGGTTATTTCTGCATCAAAGTTTTGCTGTGCCATAAAATACTTGCATTGATGTAGACGTGATTTGTTAGCGCATAACATATGTCACTGGTGCATTTAATGTGACTGTGAAATCAGTCCTGTGTAAACGTCACGTAGATACTTAGGAACGGATTCTCCAACAAGGTACCCAAAGCTCGTTCACTCCAAAACTCTGCGATAATAAAGACTTTCCGTTTTCAACATTGTGAAATTCTTTTGTTTTACGCAGATTTTGTTACCAACCCCGCCCTCCAAAGTTGTACTAACACATCACATAACAATGACTCATCATATTGTCAACATTAAACCAATCATAGGTACTTCCGCTGCCGTTATTAGCATATGATGTCAATTCTGAAGTTGTCATTCTGAATGATCTAGGACTTGTCATTAGGATACAACCTAGATGTTTTGCTTACTCAATTTTAATGATATTACTAGGTTTCAAATAAGGCATGGAGTAGCATCTCTTAGTACAAGAAATATAACGAGTTCACCGGGACAATAATGGTATCAAATACCGTGTAAATCCAATTTAATGGCAGCGCATATGTCAAACAATGTCTTCAACTCACGATAACACAGATATTGTCCATGATCATCAAAACAGTCAGATTCGTATGAAAAGTAATTACACGACATGATCCGTACACGTTATTCTTACTCAGTTTACATTTGTTTC